TCATGCAAAAGGAAAATGTGGAGCCCCAGAAGCTCCAGATGAACCCAGAGGGCCCTTCCCTGTTTTTCCCAGCTGGAAGTGCTAGGCTCCCGTGGTTTCCTGCTGGGTCTGACCTTTGGGACCAGTTTGGGTCCTCCAGGGAATGATTTCCAGGCTTTGTACTCCAATGATGCAGACCGACACTAAGCCAGCTCTAATTCCCTTGTTAAGCTGGGTTTAAGGCTGCTTTGCACTGCTGGGATCAGCTCCGAGCAGCAAAGAGCTCAGCTGGGAACTTTGGGAATTCTTCAAGGGGATTTCTGAGAGGAAAATGAGATTTCTTCAGAGCTTCATGCACAAAAGGCACCAGCTCTGCTCTGGAATGTGCTGGGTGCTGCCTTTGCTTTGTTTTCCTGCCATTAACCCATGCCAGGGAGCCAGAACTTCAGGAACCCTTCAGACACAGCCAGAAAGGATAAAAAACCAGGATTAGGACAACATTTTGGGAAGGAATGGATGAACCTGTGCCATTTCCACCTTCCCCCCGATGAAATGTGCTATTGTGATGTCAGTGCTGATGGCCCTGGGGTCCTGGGGAGATTTTGTGTCCATTCCTTGGACCTGAGTCCTCAAACCTGTGTTTCCAAAATTAAACCTGGCTCAATCCTGTCAAAGTCTGGACTCAAAATTGTGCTTTCAGAAATTCAACTCAGCTCAATCCCCTCTCAGTGAAAGTCTGGACTCAAAACTGTGTTTCCAGAAATTAAACCTGACTCAATTATCTCTGAGTGTAAGTCTGGACTCAAAATCGAGTTTCCAGAAACTGAACCTAATTCAATCCCCTCTCAGTGTAAGTCGGGGCTCAAAACTGCATTTTCAGAAATTAAACTCAGCTCAATCCTCTCTGAGTGTAAGTCTGGATTCAAAACTTCATTTTCAGAAATTAAACCCGGCTCAATCCCCTCCTGACTGGTGTTTGTGCCTCGATCCTGGAGGATTTTCCCAATTTTAATGATTCCCTCATTCCATGGATTCTTTTGGATGTGATTCTGGCATTCCCCAAGCCAGGAACTCCCAGGAGCCACCAGACACAAGCACAGGATGCCCCCAGAGCCCGGCTGGGACCATGAGTAATTTACTCCCAGGTTGCTCCCAGTAGCAGTGGCCCCCCCCTGCCCTACACCACGTTCCAAATGCCAGCACAGCCAGGTTTGACTGATTAATCCATAAAAATGAACTTTTCTGCTCGGTTTGGTGTGAGCTGGGCTGTGATTCCTTCATTTTTCCACCTGAAATGATCCCTCCTGGAAGCTCCAGAGTGGGAAATGAGTGGAAAGCTCAAGGCTGGGGCAGGGAAAATCTGCCTTGGAAAAAAAAAAAGATTTTTTAAAAAAAATCCAGATTTTTGGGAATGAGTTAAACCCTGGCTTGGGCAGAGCAAAGAGCATTTCTCCTCTGCTTCCGTGGAATTGGATCAAATCTTTGGAATTAACCAAGGGAATTAACAGAGGAAAAGGGAGGGATAAACCAGGGCCTTGTTTTCCACACACCCCAGACTGATCCCACCTCTTTCCCCACTCCCTCAGGTCAGGACTGGGATCCCAATTCCCAGAAAACAGAAATTCCAGCCAGCCCATCCAATATTCCCATTGATAACGCTGCAATCCATCTTATTTAAAGAGAAAATTTAGTAAAACTCTCAATGCCCCAATTCCCAGGAAAATTCCCTTTCCAACCAGCAGTTCCATGGGGAATTGATGCTTTGGAGGATTTTTTTTTTTTTTTTCCTGGCCCAAGGATTTTTTTTTTCTCCCAGTTCCACACAGCCTTTCCTCCACGGGATTCCCTCCCCATCCTAAAAAAAAAAAAAATCTTCCCTCAGACCCACTCCGTGCCTTTGGAAGCTCTTCTGGCTTTTCCCTGAATCCCAAACGCCATTCCTGGGCTTTTCCTGGCAGCTTGGCAGTGGAATTTTGAGGAGCCAGCTGAGCTGCCAACGTCCCTGCACACATTCCATCAAAACATGTCATCCTTCCACAAAGACTGACAAATTCCCGGGAAAATCTGTCCTCCCAGCCAGCCCCTCCCAGGAAGCTCCAGACAGCATCGACACTCCCCAAATCCCTTTTTTTTCTCTTTTTTTTTTTTTTTTTTTTTTTTTTTTTTTTTTTTTTTTTTTTTTCTTCACACATTCCAACCCCAATCCCTCAGCCTCGGGCATTGAGTGACATTTTTAATACCTCGACAGACAATTCCAGCTTATTCAGCTTTTCCTTTGATTCATCCAAGGGTTTGAAATGTTGGCTTTGCTGAAAAAAAAAAAAAAAAAAAACCACCCACGGGAAGATCTTGGAAAATTTGCCCGGTGTCCACCTGAGCTTCAGGAGGTGGAAAAATCATTTGGATGAAATAAAAATTCAATTAAAAAAAAAAAAAAACAAACTGGAATTTCTGGTTGAGGCCCCAGCTATGAATATTCAATGAGATCCATGGAATAAAGGGAATTCCAGCTGCTGGATACCAAAGGATGTGAAGGAAGGATGTGTGGAAAAATCCACTGAGCGACCTTTGGGGTACAGGAGCAGCTTCCTTCAAAG